AGAACCTGTGAATATACTATATATGGTAAAGGAACTGTGCAAATGGTGATTAGGATTTTCAAACGAAAAATTATCCTGGATTATCCAGGTGGGCTAATTGCAATCACAAGTGTCTTTATGAGAGGTAGACAGAGGGAGCTGTGACTATAGAAGACATAAAGCAGTATGATCACTGAAGCAACATGCCTACCTGCTGGGCTTTGAAGACGGGCAAAGGGCCATGAGACAAGGAATAGGAAGGTCTGTAGCTCTCACAGAGCCTGGTAGGGAGGGTAACTCTGCTCATACTTTGATTCCAGCCCAGAAACCAATTTCAGACTTCTGACCTCCAGAACCATAAGGACAAATGTTGTTCTGACCACAAACATTTTAGTGAATTGTTACAGCAGACACAGATAACCGATAAACACTGGACTTGGAGCTCTCCATTCTGGTCCTTGGTCTGCTGTGATGGCAGTCTCCAAGATGCTCCCCCACCACTCTGCCATGACCTCCAGCCCCTGGTTGTGGTCCCTCCACACTGAACAAGGTTGCTTTGTAACCAGTAAGACACTGTGGAGTGAAGGAGTGTGAATTCTGAATCAGGTCATGGAAGGTGTTACAGTTCTACCTTGCCTCTCCCGGATCGCTTGTTCTGTGGGAAGCCAGATGCCTGTTGAAAGGATCCCAGCAGTTCCAAAGAGAGGCCCTACATGGAGAACGACTGAGGTCTCCCATCAACAGACATGTGAGTGAGCCATCTTGGAGGTGGATCTCCAGCCTCAATTAAGTCTCAGGGTGACAACGCTATGCGAATCCTTCACTGTAATTTCATGGGCCTGGACCAGAACCACAGCTAGGTCATTCCAGTACTCCTAATTGTCGGAACCTGTGAGATCTTTATTGTTGTTCCAGGTCACAAAGTTTTGAGTTACCAGCAACAGGTAACTAATACACTTTCTCTCAAGCTTTCTTATTGCTCATTCCGTGTCCCCCCATCCACAGCAAGGAACAAACTAAAATGTGGTAGCATTTCATGCAATTTGAAGTAACAGACATCTGAAACTGCAACCTATCAAGTCTCATTTGTGTACCAATCTGAAATAATGAATCCCCATGAACAAACCAACGACAAAAAAAAAAAAAAGTACATGAATTTCAAAGTTGCAGAGCTTGAGAGAATATAATTATTGTTGTTTCCTGCCAGGGCGAGGCAGCACTTTATCGGAGAACACAGGCAGCAGCCACTTTGTCTAGAAAGTGGAGCTCTCCTGGCCAGATGGCCCTGCAAGCACTGGCCGCCCTGCACTGCAGCTCTCCCACAGTCTTCCCATGTTAGCCAGGATAGTCTCGATCTCCTGACCTCGTGATCCACCGGCCTCGGCCTCCCAAAGTGCTGGGATTACAGGCGTGAGCCACCGTGCCCGGCCAAAATTGGTGGACATTCTGAGTGGAGGAAAGTGAAGACACAGAGACAGGAGCAGAGACCTCAGTTCCCAACCAAAGGCATCTTTCTGTATGTTTCCTATCAGAGCCACCTGCTACCTGTACTAACATTTCTTTCGTGTTTTTTAATCTACTCACGTTTTTCTTAAAAGGAAATGTCCTTTTAAAATTGAAGTATTTGGGGCCTGGTGCAGTGGCCATTATATATCTCAGTCTACCATACCAGGCTGAGAGGAGGCATCCAGTATCCAGTTCGTTGGTTTGTTCATGGGGATTTGCATTATTTCAGATTTGGTACACAAAGTGAGACTTGATAATCTTAGGTTGCAGGTTTTCAGATGTCTGTTACTTCAAATTTGCATGAAATGCTACCACATTTTAGTTTGTTCTTGCTGTGGATGGGGGACACGGAATGAGCAATAAGAAAGGCTTGAGAGAAAGTGTATTAGTTACCTGTTGCTGTGTAACTCAAAACTTTGTGACCTGGAACAACAATAAAGATCTCACAGGTTCCGACAATTAGGAGTACTGGAATGACCTAGCTGGTGGTTCTGGTCCAGGCCCATGAAATTACAGTGAAGATGTCAGCATAGCTGTTGTCACCTGAGACTTAATTGAGGCTGGAGGATCCACCTCCAAGATGGCTCACTCACATGTCTGTTGATGGGAGACCTCAGTCGTTCTCCATGTAGGCCTCTCTTTGGAACTGCTGGGGATCCTTTCAACATGGCATCTGGCTTCCCACAGAACAAGCGATCCGGGAGAGGGCAAGGTAGAGACTGTAACACCTTCCATGACCTGAATTCAGAATTCACACTCCTGTCACTTCCACAGTGTCTTACTGGTTACAAAGTCAACCTTGTTCAGTGTTGGAGGGGACCACACCAGGGCTGGAGGTCATTGGCAGAGGTGGTGGGGGAGCATCTTGGAGACTGTCCATCACAGCAGACAAGGACCAGAATGGAGAGCTCCAAGGTCCAGTGTTTTATCTGGTTATCTGTGTCTGCTGTAACAATTCACTAGAAATTTTGTGGCTCAGAACAACATTTGTCCTTATGGTTCTGGAGGTCAGAAGTCTGAAATTGGTTTTCTGGGCTGGAATCAAAGTATGAGCAGAGTTACCCTCCCTACCAAGGCTCTGTGAGAGCTACAGACCTTCTATTCCTTGTCTCATGGCCCTTTGCCCGTCTTCAAAGCCAGCAGTGTAGCATGTTGCTTCAGTGATCATACTGCTTTATGTCTTCTATAGTCACAGCTCCCTCTGTCTACCTCTCATAAAGACACTTGTGATTGCAATTAGGGCCCACCTGGATAATCCAGGATAATTTTTCTGTTTGAAAATCCTAATCACATTTGCACAGTTCCTTTTACCATATATAGTAATATTCACAGGTTCTAGGAACTAGGACCTGGATATCCTTGGAGGCCATTATATATCTCAGTCTACCATACCAGGCTGAGAGGAGGCATCCAGTATCCAGTGATGAGAAGGAGCCACTCACGTGTTTTAAGCAGGACTGGCATAGGGTTGAAAAAACCCACTCATGCATTAGGGGCTGGTGGAAAGGGAGATACTGACAGCTCAACTAAGGCAGTGGGGAAAAGAGAGGAGTGGTTAGGGCCCAGTGGCCAGGTGTTGGCTGATACTGGGGTGGCCTGGGCAGCAGAAGAATGTGTAAAGGAGAAACATCTGAGCACAGCCCCACCCCTTCAGGCCCCAGAAGTGCAAAACAAGAGGGATCTGATGTGGGGCAGAAAGAACATCATGAGACAGCAAGGAGTGGGCCTCTGCTAGAATTCCAAGAAGGAGGCCAAGAGGAGGCATGAAGGACTTGTATGATACTACGGAGAACTCTCATGGCTTGGACAGACCAGTACTCAGTGGACCTGGTATCTAGGCTGTCACCAGTGACTCTTGCAGAATGGGTGATGATGGGAGGTGGGGGCAGGAGGCATGGGAAGCACGTATCAAAATTGGTGGACATTCTTGTTTGTTTGTTTGTTTGTTTTTTGAGACGGAGTCTCGCTCTGTCGCCCAGGCTGGAGTGCGATTTGTGGGCGATCTCGCTCACTGCAAGGCTCCGCCTCCGCGGGGTTCACGCTCTTTTTCGCCGCCTCAGACCTCCCAAGTAGCTGAGGACTACAGGTGGCCGCTACCACGCCCGCTAGTTTTTGTATTTTTTTAGTAGAGGACAGGGTTTCAACCATGTTAGCCAGGATAGGTCTCGGATCGGTCCGGGTGAGCCTCGTGATGCACCGCGTCGCCGTCGGCTCGCCAAAGTGCGTGGGATTTACAGGCTTGAGCCCACCTGCTGCTGCCGGCCAAAATTGGTTGTGGACGATTGCTGGTAGTGGAGGAAAGTGAAGACACAGAGAGCAGGAAGGCAGACGACCTCAAGTTCCCAACGCAAAGGCAGTCTTCTCTGTGATGTGTGCGGCTATCAGAGCACCTGTACCGTGTACTAACATTTCTTTCGTTGTTTTTTAATCTATTCACGTTTTTCTTAAAAGGAAATGTCCTTTTAAAATTGAATGGTATTTGGGGCTGGCATGCGAAGTGCATCATGCCGTAATCCCGCACCTTTGAGAGGCCAGGAGCAGAGTGTGCGTTCAGGTGTGAGGGGTGTGGCGCCACCGAGACCCCCTGCCCACGAACCCATGGTAGCAACCCATCCTTCTACTAAAAGTAC